GTAATGGAGAATACTTTGAAAGTGATAAGGTTGTTTTGTAAACAAATTTAAATACAGAGCTTTGAAAAAAAGCCCGTTTGGGGGGATACCCTCTGGGATAGTTCTAATGTAGCAATATTTAAAATTAAAAACTGCAAGAAAATCCCCCATTCTTTATAAATGTACACTAATTAGGAATAAGAACAACCAACCTGCTCAGGCACTATTTTTAAAATCTCATACACTATAAATAAGAAAATAAGTCAGCTAAACCTCATTAGAGGTAGGTTATAAACAGAATAACAAAAAAATAAATGCACTACCTTCGAGTCGATTCCAATTCATAGGGCTTCTGTGACTGTAAATCTTTATAGAACAGCCTCATCTTTATCCAGTGGAGCGGCTGGTAGGTTCGAACCGTGGACCTTGCAGTTAGCAGCCCAGCTTATCCTGAAGTACCACCAGGGCCTCTAGGTATTTCTGTTTTTCATTTTGATACAGTTTCAGTCAGACATTTCTGTGAAGTCACTATTCATTACTATGTCGTTATCAGTTACCATGGAGTCAATTCCAATTCATGGCAACCTTATGTATATTAACGAATCTTTGCCCAGCCTTGTGCCATCTTCAGGAGCTCTGGTGAGTTAGTGGACTGTGTCGTGAGCTGACTCAATGACAGTGAGTTTTTGGTGCCATCTATCTTCGTGATGATTGGTATGTTTGAGTTCATGGTTGTGGCTGTTGTGCCAATCCATTGCACTGTGGATTTCCCTGGTTTCCACTGGCCCTCTTAATTGACACCAACTATGATGTCCTTTTCTAGGAGCTGGTCTTTCCTGAGTACATGTCCAGAGCATTCACGTTGCATTTCTCCTTCTATGACGGATTTTCTCCTTCTTCTGGTAGTCCACAGTATATTCAATAGTCCTTACCAATACCACAAATGTAAATACCAATTACTAATATGTTCAAAGACTTGCCTTCCTCAGCTTAAATACTCTGACTCAAATATTCTTTGTATTTCTCTTCAGTGGTTACCACCTGCTTCATTTCTAAGAGGGTATATTATAGACCATCTAGATAAAACTTTCTGAAAGCACAGCTGATATATCCAATAGCTGTTCACCAAGTACAGTATTATAACACTGCTGTTCGCTGTTGTTGAGTCATGAGGACCCCATGCACAACAGGACCAAACCACTGAGATACACAGGGCTTTCACTGGATGTAGGTCACCAAGCCTTTCTTCCTACTATCAATTCACTTGGAAGCTCTGCTAAAACCTTTTCAACATCACAGCACCGATCAAAGTTCCATTAATGAGTCATGGTTATGCTTCAGATGGAAGAGCCTTGGAGGCGCAGTGGGTTAAGCCCTGGCCTACAAACCACAAGGTCAGATGTCCAAACCCATCAGGGGCATGAGAGAGCAAAGTGAAGCTATCTGCTCCTGTAAAGAGTCACAGTTCTACTCTGTCGTACAGGATCACCACAAGTGGGATCAACTCGGCGTCAGTAGGGTGCTTGAGATGTAGCTACACTGACTGGACACAAACCCAAATCTCCTGCGGGGATGCACAATTCTACATTGGATCACTACTGCCTCATTATACCACGGAGGGCACCACCTGAATGAAATTTACCTTTAATCCGAATGTTAACTTTTTTTTCCACCTTTGCCAACTCTCCTAGTCAAGAAGAATATTACCGTATGTACTCAAGTATAAGTCGACCTGAATATCGGCAAGACACCTAATTTTACCACAAAAACTGCATTTAAAATGTGCTGAAGAACTCGGCTTATACACAAGTATATATGGTATTTTAAAGAATGGATTTTAAAACCACCAAACATAAACTAGAAGATAGAAAGTTAAGAGGCTTAGTTCTAATTAAATGCTAAGTGCTCTGTATAGCTTGATAAACAAAAGGGGAAAAAGCGGCCCCAACTGGTAATTCAAAGTTCAACAAGGTTAGTGTGCTCTCTTCTTATACAAACTGTGGTGAGGCCCACCAGGCAACTTACAAGATGAGAAAAAAAGTCTTGCCAAGAAAAGAGCCATTGGTACTAACTTTCTTTCCAAATTTCTCCAGCATACAAGCTGCATGGAGTTGTACACAGGGACTTCAAAAAGTGCATGGAAACGAATTTTTTATTTTTAACATTTTCCGGGAGATTTTTGATGCATCCTCATATGTTCCATAAACAAGCTGTGTGGAGCGGAAGCTCCAAGGGGCAAGCAGTTTTCACAATGAAGAATGTTCTGATAGCTTTTCTAATGGGACCAAATGTTTTCCTGTTCCTATCTACTATGCAGAAGAGTTGAAAAATAAAATATTATATTAATTAAATCATTCTTCTGCCTGCTAATATTATTTCCTTAATGGCTGTGTTAATTTTAAATTTTGTGTGTATAAGTTTGCATCTTACTTTCCTTGGTTTATCAGAAACCATGAATTTTCTTTGGCACTTTATAATCTTTAAATTATATTTAATTTTATAATTTGGATGAAGAATACAATCAGAGTAAATTATTCCTGATCACAACTTTACACAATCTCTAATCCAAAGTAATTATCATCCTCCATCTTGCACTAAAAATGAAACAAAACTGGGATTTATAGTATCTCACAAGATGCTGGACAGACTTTATAGACACCACCTTAACCAAGTAATAAAACTGAGCACCTGCATATAAAACAACCTTTACCTACCACCTTATGACATGGTGCACTGAGAAGAACAAATCATTTCTGTCCTATTTTTACCAAAAATGCATAACATAGTTCTACTGGCTCTAATTATAAGAAAGCAGCAGACAAACCCAAACTGGAAGGCATCCTACAAAATTACTGACACACATTATTCCCTTATGTCAATATCATGAAACAATAAAAGACTAAAAAACAGTTTCATATTAAAGGAGACTAAAAATTGACATCTAAATACAACGTATAATTTGGGACTTAATTATGTATGAAGGGCATTATTGGAAAAATATAAACAAAATCTAAAGATTAAGTTAATTTTCTCATTTTGATCACCGCACTGTAAGAAAGAGAATGTCCCTGTTTTAGGGCTTGGGTTTTTTTGTTTTGTATTTTCTGTTTTCAAAATACACACTGAAGTGTTTAGGAAGATATAAGCATCATGTCTACAAACTTCGTCTCAAAGATTCCAGAGAGAAATATGTAGAGAAAAGGAGGGAGAAAGGACAACAGCAAATGTGGTAAAAATGTTAGCTCTAGGTGAAGGACATTCCGGAATTGTGTGTACTACACTGAAACTTTTCTCTAAATCTGAAATCATATTAAAACAAACAAGCAAACAAAACCTACTAAAGTCATGTTCAAAGAGACTTACATAACAACTTATTAGTTAAGTGGTAGGCCCAGGGCACAACCCCAGGTTTATTCATAGTCTAAATATTCATGCATTTCTCTCACATCAAGCTATCTCCATAGATTATCTGAGAAAACCTCAACTGGACATCACAAAGAGCCCTGGTGGCACTGTGGGATAAGCATTGGAATGCCAGTGACCAGGTCGACAACTCAAACCCACCAGCAGTTCCAAGGAAGAAATATTAGGTTGTCTCAGAAATCCTATATAGGGTCACTGAGTTGAAATCAATTAGATAGCAGTAAGCTTACTGGAAATTTAAAACTGGGTAATACACACTTTACTGAATAAAGTTAAAATTAGCTCACCAGAAAAGACTTCAAAAAATTAGATGCCTGAAAATAATGAAGTTGGGGGGGGGGGAACAGAGAACTAGAACTGATTGTGATTGCACAAATCATTTTAAAGATGATTTAACCATGGGAGGATGGGGTTCTAAAATTGTGGTAATAATCGTAAAATTCTCCTTGATCTAATTGAAAGATTGAACTACTGAAATTTATGGTATGTAAATTATGTGTCAATAAAACTGTTGGGGGGATAAGATGACTAGATATATGAATAATATCTATAATGCATAATATTTGTAAGTGCTCATTATACTTTTATACGAAGGAAAGATTAGAAATATAAGGATCTAGACATGCCTTCCCCAACTCGGTAAGTATGTTTTTCTCCTAATTAGATCAACAGAGCAATCCTCAAAGGACCCAGACAAACACTATCAGTGGCAAGCCCTGGAAGGAAAAGCACCCCCAATTCCAGTCTCAATTCTCTGGGTAACAGCCAGGGAAGAAAGAGATACTCCAGTTTACAATCCAAACATATTATTTGGCCCTCCCTTCAGAAAACCATCTTTTTAATCTTTGCCAACTTGATAAAACATAAATAAAAATTTTAAATGTCCTTGTTTTAATTTCTGTTCTTTGATCAGCAGAGTGGTGCCCATGAATATACATACATAGCTTATATATCTTCCTTGAAAACAGATTATTCATGAAACAAACTTGTCCTTAGCACTTATTTCTAAATGGAAGGCCACGTTCAAAAAGTCCAAGTTTTTCAACATTGGACAATCTTTCCGATTCAAGTGTGAATAAAAGCGAATCAGCATAAGAGTATTTAGGGGCAATCACCAAATCGGCAAAGACATCTATCTGTTAATACTAACAACATGAAGTTAATCTGATACTTCAAAATTTAATACAACAGTGAATTAGAGAACCCCCCTCTATGTCCTTCACAGAACACTTGGGGATATATTTTTAAAGCTCATATAATAAGTCATTAAAGCGAAGTCAGATCATCCATCTGAAATTCTAATGAAGAGCCCTGTTGGCATGGCAGTTAAAGCTCTACATTAATAGTAAAGAGAGGTGGTTAAGGCACTATATAAAGAAAAAGCAACAGCTAGTTGCTAATGAGTAGAAGGGAAAAGTTCAGGATTTAAAAGGTGTTAACACCCAACTATACTTGTTCAGTGATATCTTTCCTAATAACTACTTTTCCACACATGAGTCAAAGTCCTGCATTTTCCCACAAGAGAGAACTTTAAATTACCTACGTGTTCTTAATTTACTTAATCTAAATAAGGCAAGGAAAGTTCCGCAAAAACTTACCTGTACTACTTGTTTCTGTGGTTGTGTTGACTGTGCCACAGAAACCTGTGGTTTGTCCCGAGCGCCTCGGGACCGGTCACTGCTCACTGAAGTCATCATATACAGTATATACAAAATAATGTATGTACAAAATAGAAAATCTGGGGGGGAAAAGCAGAAATGGTAAGCAAAACTTCCAAATCACAGAAAAAGGGGAGAAGAAAATACAGAGGTGAGTCAAAACATAAAAACTCTCGAACCCAAATTGTTAAGAAACAGTCTTAGGATTTTTTATTGTGCAATTAGCTCTTAAACCAACTTTATTTGTGCAATTGAAACAGCTATATGATGTGCAATTTTAGCAATTCTAAACAAAAATCTGAAGTGCCACCAGTTTTAATGGGCAATCATTTTATCATTTGTTGTTCTTAGGTGCTATCGAAACGGTTCTGACTCATTGCAACCCATGTACAACAGAATGAAACATCGTCCAGTCCTGTGCCATCCACTAGGTATATACCACTAGGTATAGTTTTTCTATATGCAGTTAGTTCTATAGGGCTCTTCCCACTTGCAATTGGTATGTGAATTCAAAATTGAGCCTAGCCTACTTCCAGTCAAGACTGCACCTAGCAATAATCCAGTTCAAGATGTGATCCGGAGGACAAGCCATATGCAAAGGTTAAAACTTATCTATAAACAACACCCAAAAAAATAACTCAGAGATAAAAATTGCACATAAAAATTTCCTTCATTTAATCAACTATTTACTGAACAGCTTCTAAATGTGCCAAGCATATAAATTATATGCCATCAAAATATAATTATGTATATGATTACACAAAACTTAATTTTAACTAATGTCCAACAAAGGAACTGAGTAGTGGGTTATGAGTTGGGCTGCTAACTACAAGGTCAGTATTCAAAACCACCAGCCATTCTGTGGGAGAAAGATGAGGCTTTCTACTCATGTAAAGAGTTACAGTCTCACAATGGAAGGATGTATGGATTGTGATAAGAGTTGTACAAGCCCCCAATAAAATTTTTTAAAGAAAAAGAAAAAAATGACAGTAGCAAAAAAAAAAGTTACAGTCTCGGAAATCCAGAGGCTGTTCTACCCTGACCTACAAGGTCACTCGCTATGAATCGGACTTGACCCAATGGCAGTAAGTTTGTTTGTTTGTTTGTATTAGTCTCTGTTTTTTAGTACTGTCCAACTCAAGGTAAAGACGGGGATTTCTACTCCTATAAAGTTAGTCTCGGAAATTCACAGGGGCAGCTTTGTCCTATAGGGTCACTATAAGTTAGCAGCAACTAGAGTCCAACCATTAAACTACAAGAATACTGCTCATTCTTTTAAAAGGTTCTCAGACCATTTTGAATGACTAAGAGCAAGATAATGGGTTTCTGCTGGCAAAACAGCAGAGTGGGCACGTTTTAATCAGGTGGCCCTCTTTACCTTCTTTGTCCAATACAGTAGCAACTAGCTATATGTGGCCACTGAGCACTTGAAATGTGGTCAGTCTAACGGTGCTATAAGTGTAAAATATACACCGTAGTTCAAAGAATTTTATCTAGTTCTCTTAAATTTTTAAATATGGCTACTAGAACTCTTAAAATAGTATATGGCTTGGCTCACATAATGTTCTACTAGTTAGTACTGTTTTATACTATAAGATAACATGCTATTATTTATATAAAGGCATTCTGGGGGCAAACTGGGTTGAGCACTGGGCTGCTAACTGGTGATTCATACCCACTGTTCTGCTCCAGTAAAGATCTAGTCTCCACAACTCTCCAGAGCTGTTCTACTCCATTCTCAAGGACTGCTCTGAGTCACAATAGACAGTGGATTTGTTTCATTTTACTTAATATAAAATACTTCTAGTCAAACACTGCAAATAAGTATGCTCTTAACTGTTAATCATCAAGTCCCACTCAATGACTATCAAGAAGTCACCATACACAAATCCTGAAGAATGAAAAACTAAGAAAAAGGGGAGAGACAAAACCTTATAGATTAAAAAGCAGCTAGACTTAGGAAATCCATGAACCAAGAAAGTTTCCTACATTAGCAATGGAAAGCACATAAGCAAACCAGTTCTCGCTGCTGCATCTTAGAAAGGCTAAGGAATGGAGGGCACCAAACAACACTGATAAGAATATTTATGGGCAGAATAGTTAAGAATCTATAAGAGGCAACAGCCTGCTAGGTCCCTTCCTCAAACTACACAATTGTATAACTAGTACTTCATTTCCATCCACATCGAGACCCTAAGGTTTATTCTCCAGAGTAACTCAAGGATAGCAGGCTCAGCCAGAGATATAGCACTGTCCCATAGGGTTCCTAGGCTGTAATCTTTATGGAAGCAGATCACCAGCTCTTTCTTCCAAAATAAGTGGTGAGTTTGAACTACTAAGATTTCCAAGAGACTGAGTGCTTAATCACTGCATGATCAGTAGTCCTTAAGGGACTCAATACCACTCTGAAAATAGAATAATTAATCCCAAATTAGCCAGGTGGCCCTTAATCTCATCCTCTATTTCTAAATTCTGAAGAGGATGGAGAAATTGTTTCTAGGAAACTAACCAGCCTGAGAGAAAAGCCTAGCAGGAAATGACATTTGCAAGATACCCTGACCAGTCAAGCATCCCCATGAGGTCAGTTACAATGACGTCCATCAGGTACACAGAACCAAAGATTATAGGCCTTGACCAAAGATTACCAGACATTTGAGAAAGATCTCTAAGCATGAAAAAAATTATAGCAAAACAGAGAAAAGGTACTCAAGAAAGAGAGGCCAGCCCCAATCCCAACTATATGGAAAACTCCCTCCCCCCCCCAAGAAGAATTTAACTTCAGAGGACAGCACTGAAGCTACAGCTCAGGGAGAAGGGCATGTCTGATCAGAGCACACAGGAGCAAATGAAGGGGAAGGAAGAGAGAGTGTAGCACATCCTGGCCCAGCAAGATATTGAGGCCAATATCTGCTCAGAGCAGCCAATGCACAGAGAGGACCATAGCGGCAGCCCCACTACCAGACACTACACCCCTCACTGACCCATAGTGCTACGGGGGACAACACTGCAGACACAATGTGAGAGTGTGTCCAATCTGACCCCACCACACTGAGGCAAAACACTAAGGTAAGGTGACCAGATTTTAACATTGGTAAAGCGAGACACCATTGATAAAACGCATATGCTGGCGAAATAGCCACATGGCAGCTGAAAACCGTATACACTAGCTTGTTGTGCATTCTTTCCAAAAATTGGGACTTTTGAAAAACACCGCAGGATGCGGGAAAATTTGTTAAAAATCAGGACTGTTTTGCCAAAAGCGGGACGTCTGGTCACCTTACACTAAGGGTGTGGGAAGCAGAGCAAGGAAATCCTGAGGGAAAACCAAAAACAGACTTTGGGGCCAGGGAGTGGCGTCCCATCAGATTCAACCAGAAAACACTCCTAAAGGTCAACAAACAGTCCTTGAACTAACTACAGGCTTTTCTTTTGTCATTGGTTTTTTTATGGTTGTTATTTTCTTTTGTTGCTTTGTTTTGCTCTGTCTTGTTTTTTGTGCATATTATTATCTCTGCATGTCTATCTAGATAAGATAGGCTGGATAAACAATCTGGAGGAGAAAACAAGGGGACCAACAGTGCCAGGGGGACATGGGAGAGGGGGAGGCAGGGGAAAGGAAGTGGGTGTTAACAAACCCAGGGGCAAGGGAACAAGTGATCTAAAATCTATGGCAAGGAGGGTGTAGAAGGCCTGGTAAAGCTTGATCAAGGGCAATGTAACTGAGAGGAATTACTGAAACCCAAATGAAGGCTGAACATGATAGTGGGACAAGAGGAAAATAAAAGGAAATAGAGGAAAGAACTAGGAGGCAAAGGGCATTTATAGAGATCTAAATACAGCCATGTACATATGTAAATATATTAATATATGACAATGGGAAAATAGATATGTACATATGTTTATAGTAAGGTGTCCAGATTTTAACATTGGTAAAGCAGGACACCATTGATAAAACTCATATCCTGGCGAAATAGCCACATGGCAGCCGAAAACCGTATACTACCCTAGCTTGTCGTGCATTCTTTCAAAAAATCGGGACTTTTTAAAAACGCCGCGGGACACGGAAAAAATTGTTTAAAAGCGGGATGTCTGGTCACCTTAGTTTATAGGTTTAGTATTAAAGCAGCAGATGGACATTGGGCCTCTACTCAAGTACTCCCTCAACACAAGAACACTTTGTTCTATTAAACTGGCATTGTATGATAAGAATGCCAATAGAACACTTTGTTCTATTAAACTGGCTCACCTTCCCAACACAATTGCTGAAGACAAAGCGGGTGCATAAACAAACGTGAAGCTGATGGTGTCCTGCCCGGCTATCAAAAGATATAGCATCTGGGGTCTTAAAGGCTTGAAGATAAACAAGCAGCTATCTAGCTGAGAAGCAACAAAGCCCACATGGAAGAAGCACACCGGCCTGTGTGATCACCAGGTGTTGATGGGATAAGGTATCAGGCATCAAAAAACAAAAAATCATATCATTGTAAATGAGGGGCGTGCGGAGTAGAGACCCAAAGTCCATCTGTAGGCAACTGGACATCCCCTTACGGAAGGTTTCGTGGAGAGGAGACAAGTCACTCAGGGTACAGTGTACCAATGATGAAACATACAACTTTCTTCTAGTTCTTTAATGTTTCTTCCTTCCAACTATCATGATCCCAATTCTACCTTACAAATCCAGCTAGACCAGAGGATGTACATGGGTACAGATAAGAGTTGGAAACACAGGGAATCCAGGACAGATAACTCCTCAGGACCAATAATGAGTGTAGTGATACCAAGAGGGTAAGGGGAAGGTGGGATAGAAAGGGGGAACCGATCACAAGGATCTCCATATAACCCCCTCCCTGGGGGACAGACAACAAAAAAGTGGGTAAAGGGAGATGTCGGACAGTGTAAGACATAACAAAATAATAAAAATTTATAAATTATCAAGGGTTAGTTAGGAAATGAGGGCGGGGAAGGAGGGGAAAAAATGAGCTGATTGATGCCAAGGGTTCAAGTATAAAGAAAATGCTTTGAGAATGATGATGGCAACAAATGTACAAATGTGCTTGATACAATGGATGGATGTA